AAAGAGAGAGATCCGGCAATCAGCCATTTGAAGGTCCAAATAAATATTATTATTTATTATTTATTATTACTTATTTACTTATTATGCCATTTTTCTCTCGAGTTTTGAGTGTGCAGCCCGATTAACAACCTGACATTCTTCGTATGAGAGTCGTGTACTTGCCCGCTGCGTGAGTGAAGTGTGGCGTGAGGGCTGGACGGCGGTGTTCGCATTGCGCAGGTCGTAACGACAGCTCGACGGCAGAACGCCTGTGGCAGGCGCTGACTGGAGCAGGGCGCATACTGCGGTATCCGGCGTGCGGCCGCCGACGTCACCGTCAAGCGTCATCAATGGAAAGCGTGACCGCTGTCAGACGGCTTCCCCGTCCGTCACCGTCACGCTGCGATACCGAACGCGGGGGCCGGCGCCACCCCGTCACGCGGTACTGCCTCGGTGGGGCGTCTCGGTCGCGGCGGCTCGTGCTGTTTGGTAAGCAGAACTGGTGTGGGAAACAGTTTGGGGTTCGAATTCGCAGTCGAACTCGTCAGTCGTTGCAGTCATATTGCGGTTAACCGTGTCACTTTTATAATAATGCGGAAAACAATCTGAATCAGATTACAATTGTATTTTTTTGCATCTCGGTGCGTCGGAAAGTGGCAAATTCTTTGACAAAACATTCTTATTTGCCAGACCTCTGGATACGAAATCAAGTTGAGATAAGATGTTCTATTATATAATAAGTACATCTACCTTTTCGTGTGTAGTCAAATGGCATGTTTTTTGGGCTCTTGATACAGAAAATTGGTTGAACAGCAAACAATAATGTCTGTCATTCGGTGTCCACTCCTCTGTGTCTCTCACTCTCTGTCTGTCTGTCACTCGCTGCTCTGTCTGTCACTTGCTGTCTGGTCTGTCATCGCTGCTCTGTCTGCCAGTCTCTTGTCCTCTCTGTCACTCTCTTCTGTCTGTCTATAATGTCTCTTTCAATGTATCACTGTCTGCCTCCGTTCATCCCCGTCCGAGTGGTACACGCTAGCGTTTGCTTTCTGATTCTGTATTGGGGATGTTTTATCAGGTCTGCCCTAATGTTTGTAAAGTCTTTACGGGTAAAATACAAAATAATCTCTTACTTTTGTATAGAATAGCACAAAATCTTCAACATTGCTTCTTTTTTCTATTTGCTGAAGGGCTTCAGAAGTTGATTTAGATAAACACGATGGTTGGCGTTTCCACAACTACATATGCGTTTTTTTAAAGACAGGTTCGCTTGAGTTGCTTAATTAAGAATGAAAAGCTGTAAGAGTCCTAAGATAAGAGAAAAGGTTTCTTCGTTTAACGATACAAAATCATTTTATGCTTTGAAATTTTAAAATTAATATAGCTCTAACAAATGCAGCGAGTTAAAACTAAATTAGGGATTTTTGTATTCAACTTGCCTTCAGTAACACTTAGATAGTTTATCGTGGTCAGTATATCTGCTGGTATTCAAAGAATGAATTTTATCTTATTAAAGACTATATAATCTGCTTTCAATCAGTATTTTTTTGAAAAACCCTTATAGGCAGGGGTAAAAAAAAAAATGGGGGTGGAACATCGGCCATGCACATTCACTAGATCATAAATATAACACATATGTCGAAAATGATACACAAGGACATTGCTTGCGTAAGTGCAAAACTTTACCAACTCGATAAAGATCAGCCTACAGTACACAACGGAATTGACTCTGAGCATTGTAAAAATATTTTTCATGATCGTAAACTGCTGTCACGATGCTATGTTGCGTTAAGAATATAGGCAAATCACTTCATAGTATTATCATTTTCGTGTGGATAAGAAATAATGTTGCGGTGCCAAGTCATTCATCAGGTAATTTAATTAATTCTTTTTAAATCATATGTAATCTATCAGAGTTAATAATTGGATCACCTGAACAACACGATCTCGATACCCAATCGTGAAACGATTTTTAAGTGTTCGTTTTAACAACTTGTAACTAAAGGTCTAGAAGTGGCTGTTTTATACGTTACGATTGATACAACACGCCGCGCAGAGAAGATTCGATGACCGAAAATGTCAACACTGTCTATTTGTCTGTTTGTTTGTCTCAACTGCATTTCTCCCCTTTTTTTCCTTCATTTCCCGCAACCTTTCCACCAGTGGCATTCGATTGGATGAGTGAGTGCGTGGGTGGGTGCGTGCGTGGTGCGGTGAGCGCGTGACGTTGGGTGGGTGAGCGCGTGCGTGGGTGGGTAATCGCGCGTGCCGTCGGGTGGGTGCAGTGCGTGCGTAGGGACGTGCGGCGGGTAAGTGCCGTGCGTGCGTGGGTGAGTGCGTGCGCTGGGTTTGAGTGCGTGCGTGGGTGAGTGGCGTGGGCGTGGGTGAGTGCGGTTGCGTGGGTGAGTGCGTGTTGCGCTGGGTGAGTGCGTGCGTGGGTGAGGTGCGTGCCGTGGTGAGTGCGTGCGGGTGAGTGCCGTGCGTGTGGTGAGTGCGTGCGTGGGTGAGTGCGTGCGGGGTGAGTGCGTGCGTGGGGTGAGTGGTCGCGTGGGTGAGTGTCGTGCGTGGTGAGTGGACGTGCGTGGGTGAGTGCGTGCGGTGGGTGAGTGCGTGCATGGGTGAATTCCGTGCGTGGAGTTGCGGGCGTGAATGCGTGGAGTGAATGCGTGCGTGAGTGCGTGAGTGCGTGAGTGAGGCGAGTGAGTTGAGCGCGAGTGTTTCGAGGCGAGGTGGATGAAGGGGAAGGTGCAGTGCTGACCGGCGTGTGGCGGTGTGGCAGGAGCGGTTCCTGCTCGCGCAGCCCCGAGAACGGGTCTGGCGCCGTCGGCCGAGGGCCCCGTGTTGGTGGGGTGCCGCTCACCTACAAACTCGGCCGACAGCGCCCGACTTTCGAGTCGACGTGGCCGGCGCTGTGGGATGCGTCGCCGAGCGCTCTCGTGGTGCTGCCGGCGCTCAAGCGCTTTCCGCCGACCACTGGCTCATCTTCAACATCCAGGAGACAGGTGCGCACCCTCCACCGCTATGGCGGTGCTCCTTTCAAGCGGGTGCCCTCTTTTCAGCGGGTGCCCCTTTCAGCGGGTTGCCCCTTTCAGCGGGTGCCCCCTTTCAGCGGGTGCCCCTTTTCAGCGGGTGCCCCCTTTCAGCGGGGTGCCCCCTTTCAGCGGGTGCCCACCTTCAGCCTCAGTAGAAGGAGGTGGGAAGTGCCCTTCAAATTCTCCGTCAAAACATGGGGTATGCCTACTCTAGAGGCTCTAGTGTCGTCAGGTACATGCGTGCAGGTTAGGCTTGCCAACTTCCGGCTCATAAAATTAAACTAATTCTGCAAGAAATAAGAAAAGGTGTTCTTCTAAAGTGTTCGATTATTCATAATACAGCACTATAACAAACCCCTGAAGAAAGCTCGAACATCGGCGCTATCTTTTGTAACATTTATAGGCCTGCTTGCAATTCGCGAAACTCACTCAGTACACGCACGGGTTTTAAAGTAGCGTTTGGCAGCCAGTTCGTATTTTTCGTTCCTGCAAAGAAGGTGATCTAGCAGAGCGCGCACTGTAATAGTTTAAACTCGTTTAATTATTTGGAGTTGTACGGCCCTGGGCGTGGGATAGGGAATGTGACTTCGATGTGAAAATTTCTATGTTTTTCATACGCCATCCTTAAATTTAACTTCTATTTTTCTTGAAGCCGATGTTGGTTGTTGCGCGGCGCAAGGTTTTCTACCGCGTGAACTATCGAACGCGGCGCAACTGGGCGCTGCTTGGCGGCGGCGCTGGCGGAACCCCGCGCGCGCTTCGAGCGCGTGGGGGCGTCATCACCGCGCGCAGCTGCTGGACGACGCGCTCGCTGGCGCGCGCCGGCCGCTCGACTACGCCACACGGGCGCTCTGCCGTCACGCGCTACCCTTGAGCGCATCGAGCTCGAGTTCCTGCCGTGGAAGGCGCCTTCAACGCGCTCGGCTACCTCGACTTCAGCATGCTTCATCAAGACCGGCCACTACGACAAGTTCAAGGTAGTCGGCAATACCTTCCGCCTGTACCGCGTTCCAGTTGTCCTGCGACAGTGGTTCTCTAAGAGTACAGTTGGTCACTGCTGGCAGTGTAACTGCAAGGTTACGCTCCTTCTTCATTTTGCTAGAGCGTTCGTTACAGTTTAGCTCGTTTGTAAATCGGCTTCACCACTATCTTATGCAATATTCATCACCCCGCTGTCGTTATTTGTTACCTACCTCGCCAACGTGGTCCCCGTTCTAAAAGCTGGGCTTTACACTTGCAAGAATATGGCCAGCAATATATGCGCAAAATGAATGAATGGACGTAACCTGCAGTTACACTGCCAGCAGTGACCAACTGTACTCTTAGAAGGGACCACGTTGGCAGGTCAGGTAACAAATGAACGACATGCGGAGTGATGATATTGCATAAGATAGTGGTGAAGCCATTTACAAACGAGCTGACTGTAAACAAACGCTCTAACAAAGTGAATGAATGGACAGTTATACTGTCAGCAGTGGCCAACTGTACTCTTAGACGGGAGCACTTTGGCAGGACAACTGAACGAGGTGCAGGGCCGACGTACCTTGAACTTGTCGTAGTGGCCGGTCTTGATGAGCATGGAGTCGAGGTAGCCGAGCGCGTTGAAGGCGGCCTTCCACGGCAGGAACTCGAGCTCGTGCGCCAGGTAGCGCGTGACGCCGAGCGCCGTGGCGTAGTCGAGGCGGCCGGCGCGCGCCAGGGCGAGCGCGTCGTCCAGCAGCTGCGCGCGGTTGATGACGCCCACGCGCTCGAAGCGCGCGCGGTCCGCCAGCGCCGCCGCCAGCAGCGCCCAGTTGCGCGCGTCGTAGTTCACGCGGTAGAAACCTGCGCGCGCAACAACCAACATCGGCTTCAAGAAAATAGAAGTTAAATTTAGAGATGGGCTTATAAAAACATAGAAATTTTCACATCGAAGTCACATCCCTATCCCACGCCCAGGGCCTTACAACTCCAATATAACGAGGTTTAAACTATTACAGTGGCGCGCTCTGCTGCATCACCTTCTTACAGGAACGAAAATACGAACTGCTGCCAACGCTACTTTTAACGTGCGTGGCTACTGCGTGAGTTCGCGAATTGCAAGCAGGCCTATAATGTTACAAAAGATAGCGCCGATGTTCGAGCTTTCTTCAGGGGTTTGTTATACGTGTGTATTATGAATAATCGAACACTTAGAAGACACTTTTCTTATTTCTTGCAAATTAGTTAATTTTTATGTGCGGAAGTTGGCAAGCCTAACCTGCAGCTGTACCTGACGACACTAGAGCCTCCTAGAGTAGCATCCCCTGTTTTGACGGAGAATTGCAAGGCACTTCCCAC